GCTCTTCTCTCTCTCTAGTACTTTCTAATCAAGATTTATGGCAGTAACTTTTTTCTTATTCTCTCTTAAAGACACCAATTTTGAACAGTTATTTTTTGTTATACTGCAACACATAATTTTCAAATAAATCTTTAGCCTCAGAATCTTCGTGGTGCTACTCTCATGCCATTGCTTTTAACACTTGCCAGTTGGTTTTGCTGCTGACGTATCCCTCACTCAGAGGAGATTATCGCAGCTTTTCATTTTTGAGGAATAACTATGTGAATTTTCCTATCTTCGACCTCTGTATATCATCTTAATGCTCATTTACCTGAGCCACAGTTTAGAGGCCAGCAGAAGCTGGCATACTCTGAAGAGTGCGTCTGACCAAATTTCCAGTTTTGAGCTGGAATTCTGTGACAATTTTCCTTTAATTAGGTGTCACCTTTCCTGTCCCATTTTCCTCACTTTTCCTATTCTTTAGTTTCTCCTCAGTGCTCAGAATTGATAGAGTATATGAAAACTCAGAATCTTCACAGTAAAAAGCTACAGAAATTTTCCTATTTTTTCCCTCGGTTGGAAACATGGAAGTACTAACATTAATTGTTCATCTACTTATTGAACAATTATTTTCCTGAAAGTTGTGTTATCTGAATGAATATAAAAAGATGAGCAGCCTACAGAGATACAGAATATTTCTCTGGCTACCTCATGAACCTGGATCTATGTAGTAAAGAATAGTTGTAGAATTTTTCAAGTTCATTCTGAATGAAGACCCTGCATCACTGGGCAGAGAGGGGAAGATGCATGTTATGTATTCTTATTTCTTTTTGAGTTGTTCCTTGTTTCATGAGTTGCTTGATTGTGTTTTCTCTTAATAACTGATGGGGTGTGGGCTTGTGCCCCAATTCCCAAGTAGATGTTTGTCTTTCCTGTGTGCTGCATTCACAATCAAGGTGCCCACTCTTTTTTATCACCAGGAACTTATATACATTTCCTTTTTTGATGCCATGTTGTGAAATAATTTGTCTCCTACCCAACTACAGTTTTAAGTAATACTTAATTTCTTCTATTAATTAATTTATCAAAATCATACATGATGTCTGCCAGAGCTTCAGCTATTCATGTGATAACCAGAGTTATTCAAGGAGTTGATAAAATTCAAAACCAAAGACAGCAGACTCTTAGCCCATCACAGCTTTGGTAGCAAATGTAAAATTTTCTTAAGCTTTTTGAAACATTGATGTTTTATCCAAACACCCTATTTTTAACTCTGTGAAGGTTTAAGGGTCTTGAGGCCTCATGGTTAGGAATTGCTGTATTACCAAGGATCATAAGTGGCGGAAACCCAGCGGAAGCTGGGTTGCTCAGCATGGTGTGGTGTTTTATCTTTAAGCTTTAAACTAGATGAGTACAGCACAGGACATTCCAGTTGGGCAGAGTATTGCAGATTGTTATCATCTATGGAAAATAACATCATGACTTTGTTTTTAGTTCACCACTCTATCTATCTGTCTATCCATCTATCTACCTATGTGTGTATACATATACATTTATGTATATATGTTTATGTGGCTATTCTCTAACACATATATATACTTGTATGTGTGCTATGGTTTGTGTCTACATGTCCCCCCAAAGCCTCATGCAGTCATGGGGTGGGCTTCTAGAGTTTTGATTCATGGTTGTGAGTGCTACACTGCCCTGGGGTGGACAGTTTGCATATGTAAGGGAGAGGAAGAGGCTGCTTGCCTCCACTCCTCCCTTTTGCACTTGTTACTTTTGCTGTCTTCTGCTGCCATGAACAGTTGCCCTCTGCCATGTGCCACCCTGCCTTGGAGCCAGCCAAGTATGGACTGAAACCTCCACAAACTGTGAGCTAAATAAACCCTTACTTCCTTAATTCTGGGTGTCAGGTATTTTGTCTCAGCAATGAGAGAAAAGTAACTAAGTGTGCATACATGTTTGTGCATGCAAATGCACACATGTACACAGGATCTCTAACTTATTTGCAGTAAAACCTGTATCAGTGCAGAGGTACTCACAAGTGCCTTCAATAAAAAAGTCACCATGTGTTACGCGATAACATTGAACAGACTCCAGACAGCCTCTTATCTTAGATATACAATAACGTAGCATAACTCAAGCCTAGAGGAGAAGTTAAAGCATTAGGTAACAGTAGCAACAGTAGCATGTTAGTAGAGTAATAACTCTCCTGGAGGATAACCCAGGATGGTTTTTATTGAATTCAGTTTACTTAGCTAGGATAAACCCAGATAGGCATCACATTTACAAGAAGGTGCTAGCAAGAGGGCACGTTATTACAAGCACATTTAGCAGATAAGCAATAGAAAATTGAATAAAATCAGAGATCAGAAAGGGAGCATAAGTGGTTCCTGCTTGTGCTTCTTGCCACAGATAGGTCTACAGCTAATCTGACTAAGAAAAATAATAGTTGCCTTCGCAGACATCTGCAGGGAGAAACACTATGTAAACTCTCTTAGGAATGTGCTGTGTAACCCCTACCGACAAGCTTTCTGTATGCATAATTGAAGTTTCTCTTTTTGCAACTTAAGTGCATTTTCTTTGTTTCTAAGCTGCTTGGAGATTCAGAATAAGTATGCAGTGTCACTTCATAATAATTTGTTTAAGAATGTTACAACTGTGGTCATCTCTTAGTTTCTTCAGCTTCTTAAACCAATAAATGGTGTCTGCTTTATTGTCTTCTTTCTTTTCCCTTTTGAATTTAAGTCTGACAGGTGGTTGCTCATGTGGTTATTCTATCTGTGAGGCACTGTCCTCAGCACTGAAGAGGTGGGTGGATGGATGGACTCTCCCCTCTGCCCTGAGTAATTCCAGAATTTGGTGGTCTGCTTTGTCCACATTGACCATATAGCTAGTGGAAACCCTTGCTTGACCATCCTAGCTGGTGATTTTGATCTCAAAGGAATCCTTTGTGACAAAGAAAATATGTCTCAGCTAAGTTTGAAGTAAAATGTTGTGCGTTTAGAACTATTTCTTATTGAGTGATAAATGTTGGTTAACAGACCACATGCCCTTCTATCCAGATAGTGTCTTGCAACAATGTGCTAGTCTCATAGTTTGCTGAGTGGCTGCTATTACCAGTGGGTTCTGAGACATCACTACCACCCCCACACTTTGCAGCTGGCTCCTTACCAGAAGCATAGACTCAAAGTGCTTCTCCGTGTTTACCCATTGCTTGTAGACATCGTTTCTGTCTTGTCCTAAATGAGTGTGCATGTGTATGTGTGCACACGCACATGTGTACACATGCATGCACAGAGGGGAGTGATAGGGATGATGACTACTTGTGAAAATGGAGGGAAATTTTTGTGATATATCAACAGATAAAATTTTGTTTCTGGAAAAATTTTGATTTCAAATCTCTTCTCTCAGATGACTTGGGTTCTCTCTTTTTAAAATGTTCTTCCATTGATAGAACTTGATTTGGAAGTCCGTTTCTAGAAAAATCAAGTCTATTTGCATATAGTCTCTGACTCCTTTGAGTCATTCATCTTTTCTCTTGTCCCAAGTAATCTTTTTGCTTTCCTGAAGATCGTGCCTTTATATTAGAAAATATTGATCGAATGTCTACGCTGTGAAGGGTACTTCTTTTGGCATGTGGGAAGATAGAAAATAAATGTTCAAGGTATGCTGTCTTCAAAGGCCTTAAAAGAGACACGCACACACAGATAACTTCAAAATGGGGCAGACTCCCTGAAGTACTCATGTTAGAGAAAAAGTGTTCTGGTTGGGTTAGGAATAGATCTACCCAAGGGAGTTTAAGGGAACAAGTTATACATTTTACTCTTCCAAAATCATCTCTCTTTCCTTTACATTTTACAAAATCAAACTGGTGGCTTGCTTCTACTAGATTGTCCATTCACTTTCTTATATTTTAGAACTTTTATTATGGGAAATTCCCAGTGCATATAAAGTGAACTGAACAGTACAATGAACTCCTGTTAGATCTTGTTTCATCTCCTCTCTGTCTCTCTGTCTCTGTCTCTGTCTCTCTCTCTCAGAATAAGGGATGAGAAAGAGGAAACACGAGGGAACTTTCTGGTGAGATATTCCTTCTCTTATATTTTTAATTAGTTCATTTTCTCTCTCTCTCAAGGAAAAGGATGCTATAGAAAAGTATACACCTCAAACATATTCCAAAATCTCACCTAGTCCCTGGCCAACTATTATTTTTTTAAGGAGAAGCTGATTGATAGCTGTCTACAGTATCACATGTGGGACTGTCCGCATATTGTCTGGTGTTGGGGAGCAGGTTGGGTGTAGATAGAAAATTCTCATTCATCTTTTGTTTTTGTTGTGAAGGTTAAAATGCATATCTGATGTGGTATTTTTATACAATGGAGTACTACTCAGCTATAAAGAAGGATAAACTTGAGACATTTATAGGGAAATGGACGCAACTTGAGTCCATAGTCAAGTGAAATAAATCAATCTCACGTAAGTAAACATTGTATTGTCTCCCTAGAGTAAGAAGCAGAAAGAGTAAATAAGACCTGAAATGTACAATAGATATTGTGAAATGGGAAGAAAATGCTCAAAAGGAAAGAGAAATTGCATTGGGGAAAGGAGAAAGAAGGAAGGGAAAAGGAAAAAATATATACACATATACACATAAGATAGTTAAAATAGTTATAGTACTAATTGCTATTAGAGCATTGAAAAGAAAGGTTTATGCCTATATTGTCTGATCAATTCTTCATGCCTATATCTTGCAATATGAGCAACTAGTTTGAAGATAGCAATACCCAATGTACTAACCACTGCTACTCTCCTACAATCTTGTTTTGAAATTTTATATCATTTTTATTGTTTATATTTCTTTTCTTTAAAATAAAATTTAAAAACTACATATCTGATGGAACATTTACTTCTTAAATAGAGAAATTAAGAGTGACTCCTGGGGATAAAGCATCAAGTAACCTCTGGAAGCCACCAGCACATAGCTTCCACATAAAGGCCTCCGCCAAATCAGTTACCTTCCAGTGACCGCCGCGACTGCCGCAGCCGTGCTCCAGCCATGGCCCAGCGTGGTGGTATGTGGTATGCACTTAAGATGTTAAGGTGTTAGAGACATTTCCTTCTTTCAGTATGAGCCAGGGTGGACCCAGCGTCTCTGAAAGGTAAATACAAACCCTTCTCTCCTACACGAGAGAGTTCTCCACTGTTTGCAGTGCGTCACCTTTGTCTGCACTACACATACTTCACATTTTCTTAAAGGTAATGGGCTACCTGCCAGTGACATTTCACAGCTCCCAAGCTGCCCGCTTCGTGGGGAACATAATTCCTCATGTGCTCCACCCTTTCACTTTGAGTTTTACATTTCATCCTTGCTCTGCGCAATGCACCAGTTGACACAAATGCAGGCAACTCCTCATTTGTCCTTCCTCTGATGACCTTGGAGGGCTTCCTCCGCCAGCCCTGCACCAGCCGGAGGAAGGAGGGGCACAGGACGTGCTTCTGTGCCGGTGCTGGGCTGGGCCCTGTGTTCTTTTATATTTTTCTCCCTCCTCTTACAACATTCCATTTGCTGCTCCTTTTCCACCTTAAAAAAAAAAAAAATCCCAGGATATGAATGGCTTAAAATGAACTAACCTGGTCATTGTTGTTACAGGAAAACTGGTCAGAGTACAAGTAATAATCTGCTTCCATACACTACAGTCTCTTACACAATAACCAATCTTTTATCGCTCTTCTTTGCTTGGCAAATGCAGTACCTACCTTGTTCCCACCTATTATGCACTCTTGAAAAGAACCCACGAGAGCTTCCTTTTATTTTGTTTTTGGTTTGGTTTGGTTTTGTGTGTGGCTTAGCTCTGGGTCTCAGCGCAGGGCAAACGCCTGAAGGGCACTTTCACTGGTAACTGCTATAGAGGGAGCTCTGATGTCCTGTGTGTAGAGCATGGCACTGTCCCCTGCATTTTGCTGAGAAGGTTCTGCAGAAAAGCAGGGCAGATTTCTTCGGAGGCATCGACATGGTACAGTTGACCCTATCAAAGTTTAAGGAAGTCTGAGATTGGTAGCTTTTCATGAAAGATGTATGAAAGCATAGGAAAACCAGCTGCTAGAACCCTACTGTCAACATAATGTGCCCTGAGTTCTGAATGCAGCCCCTCACCTGCACCTGGGAGATACCAAATAAGTGGTGTAGCTTTTCTGGGCATCACTTCTTATTTGCAGAGATGATTACACCTTTTTCTATTTCCCTATACGTTTGACTTCAGAAATGCCTCTGGAATTCCCAGGTCAAAGCTTTGGTGAAAGTTCAACTCGACTGGGTGCAGTGGCGCGTGCCTGTGATCCTACCACACCTCAGTCTCTTGGCTCAGGCAGGAGGATCACCAGGAGTTCGAGGCCAGCCTGGGCTGCAACATAGTGAATTCAAGGTCAGCCTGGACTGCACAGCAGGACCCTGTCTCAAAAAAGAAGAAAAGAAAAAATCGAAATAAATAAATAATTTGAAAAGTGCAATTAAGTTATTAAGAGTGATTCTGGAAAGAGACTTTAGAAACACAAAGACAAATAAGTTGGATGTTTTGAATTTGCAAAATGAAGCCACTGCTTTGCAATGCAAGCTTCTCTTGGGTAAACCTGAAGTTGCTGATAAACTCCAAATGAGATCCTTGATTCGTGAGGGAAGTAGAAAAACTGGCATTTTACAGGATCTCAGTAGACATTTTAATATTTCTAACCTGTCCTTGACTTAATATATTCTGGGTTAGGCCTTGCTAGTTTTAGTATTGCTATTTTTAATTGTTAGTAAAATCTCAATACTCTTGCTCCCCATAAGGACTTAGAAACATGTAGAAAACGCTCAATTATCAACTGGATGATGAAGTCGTCAGGTCATTTGAGTCCAGCCTTTTCTCAGGTCCCTGGTGCGAGCAATGCACAGAGGTGGGCGTGGCGGGGGATGCAAGAACCACTGAGAAACCAGGACTCTTCTCCAGGAGCCAGGAGACTATTGGGAATCCAAGACAGAAGACAGCATTTTAATCCAAGACATTACGAAGGTACAAATACAGCATGTGAGCTCTGTTTATGGTAACCTAGGAAACATAAAAACATAAATACTGACTTGGAAATTAACATTTCTCCCAGATCAAGGTTCAGCTCTCTTTCTGTGTCAGTCGGGAGGCGGCAAGCTTTTCACTTCTGGTGCCTTGCCCATTGCTGGCACGAGGGTTACTTTATTAGGATTAACAACAGTGCGTGAGATCCAGACAGGAGGCCTGCGATTTGCCTACTCTTTCTCTAGCTTCAGTGAAAAGTCCATGTGGAAGTTTGACTGAAGAAAAGCACTTTTTAGACATTTTTGTGGTTTGAGTTTGAATCTTGTCTGCAAGATTGTTTCAGAGTTAAATGCTTTGATGAAAATGTCATAGATCTTAAGAAATAAAAGAACTAGAAGCAAATTGATCCACTTCCATTTTCAAATGGATAAGGTGTTTTTCTTCTTCATTTTATGGGTACTATTCAGAGGGTAAATGCATCCCATCACATATATGTGGTATAAGCCTAGGAAAACTAGATTCCTCCTGGTCCTCTGCCTCCCTTATGCTTGCATGAGAAAATTAAATCACAAAATCATGTGAGCTGGTAAAAAACTCTCATATGGGAGAGGGGTGGTTCTCAATCTAAACATCTACCTCTAAAATAATACTGTTCTTGGAAACCTTTATTGTTCTCTATTATCATTATTGAAGATGTATACCACATCCGCTCAAAAATTTTAAAAATATGTTGCTACCTACTGCACAGTACAAAGTACACATTTAAAAAACCACAGAGCTTTCTCCCAAGTGAAAGTCAGCAGATACCAGAATCAAGCACTCTTTATCCCAGAGAGTGGAATTTGATTCTCAGTTTCTTAACAGATGAAATCTAGTGGTAAGCATGAAGGACTACAGTATTTCCAGCATCTTCCCTCTCGGTTTTTAGTTGGGTTCCCAGATTTAGTGGAAGACAAAAAAAGGGGAGAAGTAAGTCTAATACATCTTTTGGATTAGTCTTTATTTGCAGAAGTTATTAGAGTTTTTAAAATACACAAGCACAATTCCTCCGCAGGACTTGTGTCGATGGCTTGGAAGGACAATGACAGAGAGGATGCTTCTGAACCTGCAGCACGCATTGGAAAGTGCTTCCTCTTGCGTGGAAGGGGGCTTTTCCCAATTATTTTTAGAATACTTCCCCTTTTTTTCCCAGGAAGGCATCAGTGCAATAGTCTTCAGACACAAAACTTTGAGAAACGGGGCTAAATATTAATAACAGTTCGGATTATTATGAGGACTTGGTCAAAACACACCCTGGTTATGAAGATGCATTGTGAGTGCTGCGGGGGTATCAGGCATTATAACGCCTGCAGTGCTTGACGCCTGCTGTTTACCAAGGGGACACAGGTTTTGTTTACTCTGTCAACATTACAGTCCTTTCACGTGAAGCACAAATCGTTCAGGCACCCAAGATGAAATCCTAATCCCTGCGGCTCCCACTCCCCTTCTGCCTCTCCCTGCTTAGGTTCTGCTCTGGGAATGGGTCAGAGGTGGTGTGTGGGGATTCAGCCTTTGTTCTCGGTGTTTGCCTTGGTCACTGACCAGGTTCATTTTTTTGGAGATGAGCATCTTGTATTTCTTTGTGATTGAGTGACAGAAACTCAGCCAGCATCTGCCAAAATGAATGGCTCAGAAAACTTGTTATGATTTCAGCATCAGTTCGTTTAAAAAAAAGAGAAACCCTTCCCATTACCTGGAGTTCCGAACACACTTGATTGTCTCCCAGAAATACAATAAAAGGAAGCCAGTATTTTAGTCCCAGTTGTTTATGAATGCGGCTAATTTTCTTTTTTAGACTCTGAAGGTCACAGAATCAAACCAGGTGGAGCTGCAGAAAGGAGTGTCCCCTTCCCATCAGTTCTCCTGCCCACCCTTTCTCTCCAGTTCTGTTAAGAGTAGGGTCTTGCTAGCTGTAAGTGGAAAGTAGAACATTGGTGAGAATTTCTAGGGCTTCCTAATCAAAGCAGGTCACAAAGGAAGTTGGAAGTTACAGAAAGGAATTAAAAGTGACGAGTGCAAAGGTCTCTGGATGACTTCAGTGCACCGTACTGCTGCTCCTCCGCCCCTTTTCAGGCTGGCTTCGGGGAGGCGCAAGGAAGAAAAGCCTTTATGTATTTTCCAAGTAAGCAAGGCCCTTCACGTCTTGGCTGGGACCGTGGGCATGGAACTGGATTTGCCCAGGAAGTGAATAATTAACCCTGAGTCCTTGGCACACAGGAAGGTGAGAGAAGAATGAATAACATCTGCTATTCTAGAGTTCCAATCTAGAGAGCCTCTGTGTCCTTGTCATAAAATGACCTTTAGAGAACACAGCAAAGTTCTGGCCTATTTTTGAGCACATGAATAAATAGGCCCAGAATAAAGTCTCTGCCTCTTTTTCCTTTCCTGCACATCCAATAGAGCACTTTTCATTTTTAATGTACAGGTTGCTGGTAATATCTATTGTTATTTCATAACTTAAATATGCCTTCATACTGCTTATATTTCTTCCTTTAGGACTTAATGCACAGCAAGGAAATGTTTTCTAGCTGATAGGCTTGTTATATAATTTCAGAAACCTCTTCACAGTGCTTCTGATATCCAAATTGTACAAGATTGTAGAAGGAATATTAAAAATAAGAACTGAGATGTATCAAGCACCAACTCTGGGAAGCACTGTACTTAGGTGCTTTGTACCAGGCATTCTGTTTAATCTTCAAAACAACCCTAAGGAAGAGGAGTTTTCCCATCTCTCTGTAAGAAGGCAGCCGCAGGGGGATCGTACCTTCGCTGTCAGGTGTCAGTGCAGCTCACTGTAACCCCAAAGTGTGTATTCATTTCGCCTCCCCACAATGCCCAGCTTGTCCTGGAAGTCTAGAAACCCACAGCGAGAGATCTTCTCACTGCCTCACTCAGTGCGGCTTCCTTAAGAGCACCAAAGAAGATTCACCCCTCCTGCTGTGGACAGCATCTTACCCAGACTGAGCTAACACAGGTCCTGGGTGAAGAGCTAGGATAATCCTTCCCCATCTGCCCTCTGGCAACTCTTTGCTCCCTGGATTTTTCTAGGGATGGAGGAGGGTTCTGGTGGCAGAAGTCAAACTGGGTTCTCAAAACATATCTTCATGTTCCCAGGGTTGTCTAAAGATCAAAGTGGAGAGGGCAGGGAAGGACAGCAGATGTCAGATTTCAGGGGAGACTATCCTTAAGCGAGGATGCAGTCTCAGCAAGGGGTGTGAGAAACGGTCAGTCTGACTCGGCAATAAGACAGAGGATCCAAGGGAAGACGCAATCCTAAGTCTGGCCGGTTTAGTTTCTGTTGAACCTGCCCTAACCCCTGGGGTGGGAAGGGGTTGAGTCGCTCATGGCCACAGCCAATGAGAATTCTACATCCGTTCTACTATGTCTGCATAGATAGGAGAAGCCAGGAATGAAGTTATCTAGAAAATAGGGCTAACACATTGTACATAGGCATTAGTTTCTTGCAGCTTTGCACCACTTACCCAAATAAGCTGGGCAAAACCTACTAACGGCTATGTACACCTCCTAATAGCAACAACATCCATCCCCCCTTATTTTGGCCCTTCCCTTAAATAGAGGGCCCAGGTGTGTGCAGGGCAGCTGCCATGTTGCATCGAATGTGACCCAATGGCCACTTAGATGGGCTGCACACAAGACCAGGAAACTTTATACGGAGCAGCTACTCCTGGCTCTACTCTCTTAACGATCGCCAGGTCTCCAGAGGCAGAGCCTTGAAGGGTCAAGGCGGGAGCCGTACAGCGGTGAAGCAGCCCTGTGGAGCGCCGGCTACGAGACTTAGTGAGGAAGCGCACTCCAGGCCCCGCAGCCTTTGGAGGACAGTCCTGGGGGAAGTGTGAAGGTGAGAATCGGCTTAGAGGGCAGCCTCAGGGCATGCTCAGTGAGGACAGCTCTCCCGGGCTGCCCAGTTCCTCGCCTTGGCTCACTGGCGTTCACATTCTGCTTGCCCAGAGTGAAGTCCCAGCAGGCAGTGGGACGACCGGGTCCGGCTGCCAAGCCTCTTGCACCCCACCCCAGCACCCTGGACTCCAACAAATTGATATCTGGGGCTCTCAACCTTTCCTTTTTTCTTTTTTTTTTTTTTTTTTTTTGTTCTAGAGATCTTTTTGGTGGTATGATGAAGCCTACAGATTCTTTAGCAGAGTAATGCTTTTCAATGCATAAAATAACATATCCATAGTTTCAAAGGAGGCCAATTATATGGAAGGATGATCCGCAACATCTCAGGGACTTAACGGAAATAATTGGATGGGAGGGGAAAAGGTCTTTGAAAGAGGGGTGGTCTCTTCCTAAGCAAGTGGGGTGTGCATTATCAAAACTTTCATGGAATAAATGTCTGATGTGAAAAGGTATGTGCTTCTTTGGTAATGGAACAAACGGCAAGATCTAGCAGCAGAGCTAATCCCATAATTCCACAAATCCCAATACTACAATTCAAGTAGCAATTAGCATAGATGGTGCTTCAAAGTATTTGCTACAACCAAAATGTGATCTGAAAACACTTTGTAATTTCTGTTAGTGGAAAGGTCCCAGGCATACTGTGACACTGGTGTGCCACGTTGTCTAAAGCCATGACGGAAGGACTGGCTAAATTTCAATGAAAGGTTGATGAAAATGAAGATGAGCGTTGTCCTCACCTTGTTTGGAGATACCCTCTAAATCCTGTCTGTGTGTCCCACATCAAGAACTCATATGTCAGGGCTGGGGAGATAGCTCAGTGGCATAAGCGCCTGCCTGGCAAGTGTAAGTTCCTGAGTTCTAATCCTGGTACCGCAAAAAAAAAAAAGAACTCATGTGTTTTGTGCTGTTGGAAAATGATTTTAGAAAATGATGCTTTTCTTGCTCAACACCAGTACCACCTAGCTACCGACCTTCTTCTGGGTTATGTAAAAACGACCAAGCGGTGCCCGGCCCCATTGCTGTGTGGTGAAGGCCCGGCCGCGGCCGTGCAGTTTGTTATCTCATAGGCATTGGAGGGGTGAGCAGCACAGTCGCCTTGGCCAGCCTGAAGCGCCGCCATTTTCTGTGGGGACACAGGAAGGTTCTAGCACCTCCGCAAGATGAAGCAGTGCTGCAGCCTCCTTAGCAGGATAAGGATTGGCTTCAGGGTAATTTCTAAAAAGAACAGAAGCTAGGGCCCAATCTGAGAACGCAGTGGAACGCCAGGAGGTAGCATGTGGGATCTGGATTTGAGTCTGGGTTCTACCCTTGACCTCTGGTTGACCCTGGACAAATACAGATTCTCTTCTTCATTTGTTCGTCCTTTGGTAAAATGAGGCGAATCTCACGAAGTTTCTGTGGTGGACACACGCGATGGCATGCACAGTGCAGCGCTGTGGAAGTGTAAGCCCCGTGCACACGTTTTGCTACCATGATCCTTTGCAAACAGCACCGTGTTTAACTTTACTCCAAATGGGTCACTGGACAGCAGTCTCAACACTGCACTCCTGCTGCAGTTTGCGGGTCAGGGCAAGTCACACCGGTTTCTGTTACTCTTTCCTCTCTGGGGACACTGCCATGACTGGCTGCTATGCCGAAGGGACCAACTTGAGCATCCAAAGGTCAGGGCAGGTGACCTCAGTTCTCCTCGGAGCCTTGCGCCCCTGTTTTCCTGAGGAAGCTCCCTGGCCTCCGACTGCCCTGGCCTGCCTTTCTCCTGGAGGCCCTCCCCGCTTCCGGGCTGGCCTCTGTCCAGACCCCTGGGATGGCGGTGAGGCGGGGGAGAAGCGGGCGTGTGGGCGCAGGGAGAAGGCTAGGCCGGGAAGAGTGGGGATCCTCCGCCCGAGGCTGCCTCCCCGACTCCTGCGGGGTGTGGTTTCCACCGAGAGGCAGCAGCGAGAGGACACGGAATCGAGTAGACTGGAGTCATTCAGCTTTGAAAACTTCCTGTATCCTTTGAAGCAGCCCATGACATCATCTTGTTGGGCAGCTCGGAAAAATAGGTGGGAGCGGGGTAAAATGAATCAAACCCACCAAGCGACGAGAACAGAGTCATAGGTTGACATAGAAACAGCCGCGATCCAACTGAACCCAAGTAAACGTTCAGGCACCAACCAGCAAAGCACCGGCCTCCCGGTTCGCGGCAGTGACCCGGGCGGCGCCCCCGCCCAGCCCCTCCGCCCACGCAGAGCCCTGCGCTTGTTTTCCCACTGTGCAGTGACCTCTCCGTGGTGGGGACCGGCGGCGGCAGACACACGTGACTTCCAAACGGCTCATCCATCCAAGTTCAATAAATTAGCAGCCAAAAATTTTAATCAGATATTTAATCTTTCCTCCCTGGAAGGGAGATGGGGTGTTTACTGTGGCTGCAGGCCACGTTAATCTCAGAGAAGAAAGATTGCTGCTCCATCTCGGTGCTGGGAAGCCCTGGAGAAGCTGCTTTTGCCTACTGAACTTTCCTCCACCGTAGGTGGAGCTTGACTCCTCTCTTCTCCTGCTCGGTCCAGCCAGAGCCAGGCTCTTCCCTGCTAACTTCCTGCAGTCTGTGTCAGGATCTGAGAGAGTGACTCGGGAGGGATTTCCACATTTTGTAAACATTCAGATAGGGAACCACCAGAAGGCCTGCAAAAACAACTTCCAGTCTTCTCACCGGGCCTGCACCCTCCCACCCACGCCCTCTCCCCTACACCCTGGCCTCCTGGGGAGAAGAGCTTGAGGCGGTCCTGCCAGGGAGCTCCCAACGCTGGGGAGGGGACCTACCTTGCGACCATCCGAAATACATCAGTTCATTTGTCAGTGATGTGGTGACAGGCACTCTTCTACGCTCTTCGAGCAAATCAAAGAACAGAAAGAGAAGAATCTCTGCCCTTGCATAGCTAACGCTGTCACATGGGAGACCGCTGCATAAAAATAAACCTAATAAGCAAGTAAATAATATAAGGTTAGAAGGTGACAAATAATTAGGTATATATGTGTAAGGATATTCATCTGTAAAAGAATTCACTGCGACGTTACCGTGGTTCCTGTGAAAGCCACTGGGTTGGGCGATTAATGGATGCCATGACGGTGCAGAGGACAAATCAGTGCGAGGCAGAGGCATTTTGGAGCCATGGATGCTTCATGGAGCCGTCACGCCTGGGAGCATCTGTGGGGGGATGTGGAATTGAACAGCCACGCAAGAGAGACGTGGAAGGAGAGGAAGGGAAGAGCCCGGCTCTGGCCAGACAAGGTGGAAGCAACAGAGGGCAAAGTCAAGCCCTAGGTGTCTTGAGCTTTCCGTGTACCTAGTTTTGAGCCAGGGTAATTGTGAATATGAATGGATTTTTAACCCAAATGTGGAAGTCAAGAGAGGTAGATTTAGGGAGCTCATTTTAAATGGCAAGTGCTCACACAGAAATACAAGAGCCAGGTTTGTAGCAGTGATAGGATAAAACCACTTGTAGAGTGATAGGAAAAGAGTGATAGGAGAGTGCTCATATAGAAATACAAGAGCCAGCTCATATAGAAATACAAGAGTGCTCATATAGAAATACAAGAGCCAGGTTTGTAGCAGTGATAGGATAAAACCACTTGTAGAGTGATAGGAAAAGAGCAAGGAGCAGATACGAAGGAGTGACCAAGAGGCAGGAGAAGACACAGGAGGCCACTGGACGTCCGGAAGGTGGCAAGCACTAGTTTTAAAGCTTTGCACCTATTAAAGTCATCTGGGGAGATATAAACTTTCCAATTCCCAGACTGCACCCCACACCAATTACATCAGAATCTCCAGGGGTGGCACCCCAGAATCAGTAGGTTTTAAACTTCTCAAAGTGATGACAGTTTTAAGTCAAGACGGAGAACTAATGTTTTAAAGCCGGAAGAATGGCTAACAGCTATTGAGAGATTAAGACAGATGAGAAGTGAAAAAATACACTCAAATGTAAGACTAGGAGAGCATTAATGGCTCTTTCTGGAGTGCTTTTCCAGTGCACTGTTGCCATTTCACAGGCGAAGTCACATAAAGGGCGAATATTAGAGCTGAAATGTGGTCCTTCTGCTGCCAGCACCCAAACTCCTTTTACTCCATCAAGCTGGGGTAGACTTTGGGAAAGTTGCGTTTTCACTGGCTGATTTATTTATTGTTGGTTACCTGTAGGGTGAAGTGACAGCCCATGTCTTGAAGGGCCAGGGTACAAGTAAAGTAAGGTGGCCTAAGGAGTGGGAGTTTCCTTTTCTGGATTATAGTCCGACCTTCGTCATTAAGTGAGGGTCTCCATATCTTAAGCTTCCTTCCATTTCCTTATTTATACAATGAAAGGATTTGGAGTTGTTGATCTGAAGGTTGCCCAGTATTTACGAGAATTCCATGATTCAAAGACTCCAAGTGGTAATGGGGAGCACCTGATGGTAGGGCTTGGTTTGCCGTGGATCAAGTCCTCAGTTTTGTTACTTGCTTTTGTGAATCTGGTGAAAGAGCTTGAGTGAAGATGTTTGCTGGAGAGAAGTGTTGTTAGTGAACTGTCTGAGAGGACTTTGAGGACCTGAAGCTGCCCCAGAGCTGGAGGTCGGAATGGCACACAAGGCAGGTCGGGAGGGGGAGATACAACTTGCAGTGAGAGCAAGCTCTCAGTATGTATGGCACAGTCCGGGCTGCGGGCAGAGGAAGTGCAGCAGGAAAGGCTGATGGAAAGAGAAGAGAAAGAAGCACTAATGAGCCAGAGGTCAATGAGGTCAAGCTCAGGGAGAGACATAGCACAGAAGGAAGCAGTGAATGCTGTGGAAAAATCGCATTATGATTCTAAAAGAAGCATTTGGACCAAATATCATCTACAAACATTTTCAGTTCTATCTGATATCTTTATGATGTCAACTGGATGTTTAGTGAATAAATGACTTCCTTGCCACCCAAAGGAAGTTTCATTAAGGGAATCTTAATTTTATTTGGAAATAACTCCTTTTGTTGGGTATTTTTAAAATGACACTAAAGCATGCCCCTTTCAGGGGAAATTTCTGTTATTTTATTTTTTGGTAAAGCAATAGATGATAAAGGCTGAATTTCTGCAAATAAGCAGGTCACATCTATGTTTTAGGTAATGGAACCGCAATTCTTGAATTAAATGTTATAACATTTGCATACTTGCCTTGTGTGTGAATAATGTGGACTCTCAATTCTTCTAAATATTGTTTCCCTCATCTTTGATTGCCATGGGCTAACTTTGTTCACACAACTTAATTTGGATGATGAGTATCATAACATGTCTGTGGACATTCTTTCACTGTGACACTAAAACAACAGTGGCAACAAAGAACAGGTTAAGGCAAATGGATCTTCTCTTTCATGGAATTAATCAAGACGGGAACAGAGTCACCAAGTACTGCACTCAGTTATTCGGAAACCTTGTTCATCATGATGCCCTCGGAAAACTCCACTATGGAAAAGCATTTACTCCACGTCTTCTCGGTTCACAGAGAAAGGGGTATTGAGTGAGCCATTCTCACCAGGGCGTCTGTCAACACAAGCAGAACAGTGAGGAGCTAAGTGACATCTGGAAAGTTCGACTTGTGGAGTTAACACAATGAAAAATTGCTCTCCTTAGAAATGCTTCTGTTTTTGAATATCAGGGTTTGTTGGTTTGATTTGCTTTTTTCCTTCCCTTCTGTCTCCCCACCAGCGCTGGTTAACTACCTCGCACTTTCATTAGTTTATGAACGAGTATGTGTTAAGCTCTCTTCTGCAGAGGCTATGCAAGGCATGAGTGATTTGACAGATTTAGTGAGAGTTATGTTGAACCTTCACTGGGACTTAAGTCTAACGTAAAATACAGATATCAAACAATTTTAATGAAACGATGAGAGCTATTTTAAGGCAAATATGGGTATTATGAGAGTATCGAGCAGGGATGGGACCAATTCTAAGTTTCATTGGTGCTGTCTGCGGAAGGAGCATATAAATTAGTTGTGAGGAGTACCTAGATATTAATGAGGAATATTGGCTATGTAGGCTGCAGGCCAAATATCTCAAGCACAGAAGAGTACTTGCAATAGTCCACACATGAGAGAGAACATGACATGGATGAAGAACCCTGAAATAAATTTAGTAGTGCTGGAGCATAACGTGAAAACTGGAGAACAGTTAAAGCTGATGCTGCAGAGGTAGGCAGGGTGGAAACTATGTAGGACCTGCAAATTTGCTACTAATATTAGATTGTACTGAGAGAATCATTCTGGATTCTTAAGAGAACATTCTGGAATGTGTCAGAAATGGAGAAAAGAGATTTATATTTCCAGCCATGAGCAACAACTAGGATCAGGAATTATTATTTGACCGTAGATAATGAGAAAAGGTGCAAAATACAGGAAAGACCTATTTGGAGATATTTATTTATAAAAATTATTCTAGTCTTTTTTGCTAGTTCCATTATCTTTGTCGTTTCTCCTTCTGCTTCTACTTACTGTTTCCCTGGCTATGTGTCATGCTTTTCTGCTTCTTTGTGGGTCTGGTGTTTGCTTATTGGGTGCTGTACATTGGAATTATATGTTGCTTACTGGGTTACAGATAGCTTTTAGGAATGTCATGCTTTTATGGCAATGAGTTATTTATAGGTTGTTTTGATCTTTTTGGATTGTTTTTAAGTGATTTGAGGACAGGTATAAAGTAGCCTTTACTCTGAGCTAATTTAGGCACATTTCTAGGCATTGCTCTGCAGCGATGTGGACTCTCTCAACTCCCTCTTCTTCCCTTCTCATTCCATTCAGCCAGTTTGGTGGCACCTGCCCACAGTGACGGGACGTCTTCCCCACGTTGTCCTCCAACCTATGTGTCAGTGTGCTCTGGAAATACCTTCACAGACACACCCCAAAACAAGGCTCCAGCAACTGTCTGGGTCCCAGGCCAGCCAAGCTGACACATAAAAGTAACCATCACAGGGTGTAAAGGAGATTTTGGAAATGTTCTCCAGCTCTATAGTGGTGGTGCATGACCTGAGGTATAAATTTCTTCCCTTTCATCCACATGAACACACCTGGTATTTTAAAAAGTAGAGAGGAATCAGGGTGGAAAGAAGACTTCTGGAACTAAAGAGGGTGACAGGCAGTTTATTCAGAAATAAGGAGTGATCTTCACTGAAATTGTGTTGAACTGTAAGGGGCCAGTGATGAAATTTCAGAGGCCTGTATTGCCATGAAATTGCTAACAAATGTCAAGCAATTCCAGCTTAAACAGAAAATACATAATTGTCCATGTCTGTACTAAACAATGGTGTGGAGATATTGATGTAACTGAGTTACTTTTCACTACATTTGGGGATCAGGAATTAGTGATTATGTTGTCCCACCCAGAGATATCATTCAGAATCTCTTTATGTACTTTTCAAGCTGCATATATGAGAAAGAATGAAAAAGACTATGTATGTTGGAAAATATAGATGGAAACATTTTATAATAAATACTGGAGCCAGCTGTGGTGGTACACACCTGTAATCCCAGCACTCAGGAGGCTGAGGCAGGAGGATTACTGTGAGTTCAAGGCTAGCCTGAGTTACATAGTAAGGCCCTGTCTCAGGAATTAAAGTAAATACTTAAAAATAAATGAATGAATGAGTAAGTAAATAAGTAAATATTGGGGGCCAAAATTTCATTTTTATTTTGTAAGGAAGAGATTTAAGAAGTAAAATTATTATCAGGGTTTTAAAATGTGTAATCTTTAAGTCATAGCTATTAAAGTTATGTATTCACTGAAGAAAAAATTTAAATACAGAAAAATAAAGAGAAAAAGTCAAATTACTCATAATCTCATAACCTAAAGAACCTCTGTTGACATTTTATTTTGTTGCCTTCTCATGTTTTCTTTCCTTAATGCCTAATGTCACAAAACCATCACAATGATAGTGATCACACAACTTTTCCCCCTCCTTTTCCATCATTGTTCTAACCTAGTACATCCATTCATTTACTTCTTCATTCACATAATCATCCATTCAGCAAAGAGCTATCAAAAGTTTGCTATGTATCCAGTATGGGATTAAAAACAAAATAAACGATAGAGTTTCTGCCCTCATGTAGCTTTTGGTCTAGTAGAAAGATATTAAACAATAAACAAAAATAAGGAAAAACAATATAAATACAAACCTACAAATTGTTTCCAGAAAGGAAACAAATGGA